TATATTTACATGACCAAGAGAACTTCATCTGTAAATTGAACCCATATTATTGAATTTGCAACACATGTACAGGTAATATTACATCACTTTCCTTAGTTATTTTATGACAACCGATAGAAAAACTCTAATGAAAAGGTCTGTGTTCTGGAGATCTTTGAGAAGGTGCATGTTATGAACATTCCAGGATGGATACTTTTTCAGTATGCTGCCAGCTAATTTTCCACACTTCTGAGTAGCATTTGAAAATCTAAATAGAGAAGAACAAATTGATAAAACATTAATATATAGTAGGGAAAACTTAAAAGAGGTTTGCTGTTCCAGTAACAACTGTGTAAGAACAAATTTCTCTTTTCAAGAGATTTCCTCTTCCTGTTGTATTCTAATGAAAGGAAGTGAATAGGAATACTTCTAATAGGACACAGACAGAAAAAGGAAAACATTTTGGCTGTATATTCAGTTAAAGGAAACACATAATGACAGAAAAGGATATTGCTATATAACCAGTTTAGCATATTTGTTGAATGAGCATGAGATTTCTTGCCACATTAATTTAAATGTTCTATTTGCTTATGATAAATGCTGAAGGTCACACCCCAGAGACCAAAAGAAGGGCTAAGAACAGTGTGATTTAAAGGAGAAGTACTGGGAGAGTATAATATACTCTCTCCAATAGTTAGAGCTGGCGTGTGACATTGCAGGTGTATATAGTTCTATATCCTGAGAGCTGAGCGATCATGTAACCATTGCAGGCAGCCAGGCAGCCTGCTATATTCTGACTTTGGGTCATAGGTGTACATTAGTAAATGTACTCTTGGGAGCCAAAAAAGAAGTAGAGCCAAGAAAAGGTTTGGCTTTGCTTCTCTTTTAAAAAAAGCCAAATATGACACATAAAGAGGGACTTAAAGAATAGACAACTAGAGATTGGGTGGCAATGAATAAACAGGAAGCAGAATGATCTGTGTCAGAAATAGGCACATTAAGCCAATAAGGTCATGTAAACCCTTGCAATCCTTCCTAAACACAGGGTATGGTACTTCCTGTGGAGAGTCAACAGATGGTACCATATTGATGGGAAGTTCACTGAATATAAAGTATTAAGTATAAAGTATTTTAAAAATCCTGAAAGGTACGACAGGAACATTGCGCCTGAAAAAGCAAATTTTTTAAATTAAGTATTGGATATCTGGAACAGATACTTTAGAACAAACTCCATCAAATGCTGTGATGGACTACAATCTCAATACAAATGAGTAAACTAAACGTGAGATTGTAGTCCATCACTGGAGCAAGCTTGGAGCGGTGGCTACTTTACAACACACACAGTAACCATGGAGAACAAAAGTAGCCACCCCCCAGAAGGAAGGACAGTGTCAGCACCAATTCTGAGAGGATTTGAGGATCTACAGCTGAGTGATACACATAGAAGATACTTTTGTTGTTGATAGTTAAAGTACTTGAATGCAGTTTTAAGATTTAACTCCTGAGTTTAGTGTCACTTTAAGTTTCAAACAATATGAATCATTTATGATGATGGAATTTGAATATTAAAAACTCATTTCACTAAGGTGTAAGAAAATATCATATATTTAGACATCAAACATGCCTATATCACCTGGTTCAGGGGCCTAATGGAGGGCATTGGACCTCCTAAGACAAACGTACCTCTGGAATATACCATGTTTGGTGTCTAAGAAATCATAATTTTATTCTGTTCAGTAATATGTTGGTTGTCAAATTGTAAAACCTTGTTATCTGGAAACGCACATATAGTTTGAATAATTGGAATTAAGGTAGTGTCCATTGAAGTATAATAAAATCTCTCCTGCATCAAACTCCTCAGCTCTTTTGAGTGAGGGTTGGCTTAGTGAAACGTTCTAGAGCAGTGATGGCTAATGTTTTTCACCCCGAGTGCAACACAAAATACATTTATTTATCTCAAAGTGCCAACATTGAAAATAAGTTTGGTATTGCGTTGCAGTTTGGGCACTGGGGTTTAAAAAACATTCAGCATCACTGCCTAAGGCAAAATAGGGAAACACACATATTCAAACATTTATCCATTCAATAAAACACACACATCACACACTCTTTAAAAAACACACATTATAAAACACACATCTCACATACTCATTAAAAAACACACAAACATCACACGTAATGAAACACACACGCCTTAAAACACACACATCACACAAGTATTAAAACACACAGGTCGAAACACACATTTAAACACACACATCGCACACATATCACACACTCATAAAAAAAACACATTAAAAAAAACCACATCACATACTCAATAAAACACAAACACATCACACACTTATTAAACACACACACATATCTTTATTGAAAAACACACATCACATACACTCATTAAAAAACACACACAAATCACACACACAACTATTAACAATAAAAATGAATAATCAAATAAATTGCCTCCTCTCCTGCTTACCTGTTTTGCAGGGAGGGGGCTGCATCCCTGGGGTCCAGTGAGGCACTTGGGGATTATCCTGGTGATCCAGTGAAGGATCAGTGTGATTTGTGTGATCTGCATCTCTGGGTGATGCACACCATACTAATTGCTCCTGCCTGTGGGCAGTGGCACCACGAGGGAGCGATTAGTATGGTCTGCATCAGCAAGAGATGCAGATCATACTTATCCACCACTGGACCACCACAAGATAATTTTATTTAATATATTGCTGGCTCGGCAATATATTAAATAGGATCTGGGCACCTGTCAGGTTTAGAGATGCCACCTTTAAACACTTAATGTGATTTGGAGCACCAAAGCATCCCACCTTAGTGAGAACCTGGAGTGTGCGAGCTCAGACAGCCGCACCTAGGCTCGTGTGCCACCAGGGGGGCCATTGCGTGCCCTCTGTGGCACGCATGCCAAAGGTTTTCTATCACTGCTCTAGATGATTAACCAAACGCTGTTGCTTTTGGCTGCTTTTGCTCTCAATACCATCGGAACTATGAAAGGATGCTGAGAGTCATTCATGAGATCCATTCATTCATGAGATCCAGTGACTTTCATACCAGAGTGGACTTCTGCAAGGAACCAAAGACCAGGCAAACTTTACAAGTACTTTTCATTTTTAATTCAGTGCAATTGCTTTTCACTTTTACAGTTGTCTGTTTTGTATTATTATTATTATTATTATTATTATTATTATTATTATTATACAGGATTTATATAAGGCCAACAGTTTGCACAGAGCTTTCCAAAAAGGAGTGAGACAGTACAGGTACAATACAATTTCAATAGTGTTAGGAGGGCCCTGCTTGTGAGAGCTTAGAATCTAGTAGTATCTTTTCTGTACATTTTTCTTCCTCTGTTTTTCTTTTCTTTCATTAAAATTATATTTCAATATCATTAAGCCGAATGTATACATATGGCAGCTACCATTTGTAGCCCCAGTAATGTCCACTCTTAGTCTGCTAAAAACTTAGATTGTTGTCCCATGAGCTGGAAAATCTCTGCACAGGATGTTGCCAACAACCTTTCTCAGCTGTTCCAGGGCAGATTGGCATCGCAGATGGTATGTGCAGGAGAATTGATCTGCCCTGGAACAGCTGATCTTTCCTGAAATGTCGCTTCTATCCAACTTTGTGAGTACAGTGGAATATGAGATCGCACTCACAAAGTCGGATAGAAACGACATTTCAGGAACGATCAGCTGTTCCAGATGCAGATTGGCTGGGAAGCCAGTTTCCCGGCCAATCAGCATTGAGCCGGCCAAACAGCATGGAGCTGGCTTCCCAGGCAATCAGGAAGCCGGGCAGTGTGTCATTACCCGCCGCCCGGCTTCCTGATTGCCCGGGAAGCCGGTTTCCATGCTAGTGGATGCACCGGTATTGATACCGAAAAAATGGTATTGGAACATCCCTAATTATTCTGATTTTCATACCTGTCTAAAATTTATGACATACCTGTTTCAGTTGTTTACTTTGTTGGAAGTCACACTCATCCAAAAAGTCCTTCATGCTTTTGTAACAAATTGTCCTTGCCAGTTTCATCCTGATCATATATTTTATACCTTTCACAACCTGCAGAAGAAATACATATACTGACTTTGTTTTCTGATGACATATTTTTAAGTCCTATAACTAACTGAAACAGGAAAATGTTCTCACCTGTATCATAGCTTTCTCTATCTCCAGATCTTTAAATAGGAATGCATCATTGGATATGTTGTTGTATGCATACACAGTTATTCTTACTGCCTTCTGGACTTCTGGGTCATTTGTGCTCGCATTTCTGGGAAACCCAGGGTCCACTGTAGTTGGTCGAATATCTACAACAAAAATTATATATTAGATAATAGGTAAAAGGCAAAAAAGGGGTTTATTTTTGAATGGGTTTTAAATATATGTTTGTGTGCTAAACTGGCATTATTTTCAAGCCGACCTGCTATCAAATTCAACATTTGTATTTTGTTGGTGGGAGATCACAGGCAATGGCCTGTACATTTATACTTGCCCTTTAAATTATTATGAAAAGATCTGCATAACTGTTAGTAACAATACTTAGTGTATATCATTCACCATTTTTTTAATGCTCCCCAGGCAGGTGTCTCAAGGTTGGGGGGCAAGCCCAGCCCTTGCTTAAAATGAACGGTACCCTTGCAAGCCACTGAAGTATGGGCTGCAAATATTGTTTAGCAGCACATGCAACTGTTCCTTTAAATTTTTAAAGAAGTTTCACAAAAATAAATAAATGTATTTGCCAGTTTATGATGTGGATATAGCATTTGGTCTGCCCAACGGAGACTAAAAATATATATTTATGGTAATGTTGGCTATATCAATGGCGGGATGGATTTGAACAGGAAAAGTGCTATATGGACTAGGTGCCCTGGCGGATAAAATATAAACGTAATATTTTTAGTGGGATGACTTCTTTGAATCAAGTGCTGATCAGCATGTAATGCTAAGTGATCTCTACAGAAGGAATACAGGAGAGTACTAGCTTTTGATGAATCAGTGCCTATGGAGATTCTAAACACTGCATTGGGTATTCCTCTATTTTAGGAAAATGTATGATATGGGATCTTCTGAAAGTTTCCATACAGTCCAGTTGGCTTTTCATCTGATTTGGTGTCCCACTGTTTTATGTGTAGTACCACCCCCTAAGGAGCTGCTGGATAGAAGGGTCCTTCTGCTGTTCAATAAGGATGATGACCCACCCTGGCTGAACCCAATCTCTCCAACACTCCTGTGGCTGTAAAATGGGCTTTATTGAAAAGTAAATAATCCAGCTATAACTTTAATGATCTTAATGTAAAAGTCCATAAGGTAAAGTCACACATTTTGGGGGCTCACAAGTCCCGCTTCATTAGGGCTTACATTAATGATTCGTAGTGAGGAACTGGACAATAATAGTGCAGAATCAAACGTTTTGCAAATTAATGACAGTGCAGGCGTCATGTTTTACTGGACTAACTACACGTTTGTGGCGCTCTGCCCTTTGCAATCTTTCCTGCCTCAGCATTCACAATGATGTTGTAAGAAGCCTACCTCGTTACGTCCCGGGATCACGATTTGGGACCGCGCATGCGCACAACGGGCTGTAGCGTCTCCTCGCGGCGCACGCGCACATAGACCCTCGGCTCCTCCTCCTATTAGCGCAGGCGCACGAGGCTCCTTAAGACGGGGCCAAACGAATCTTCAGCGTCCGACTGTTTGCAACAGTGAACGCCGAAGATTCACACTCTGCAACCGCAGACCGCAGCAACCAGGGACCAGCACCTCGCAAACCCCACTTAGGGGGTAGTTCAAAGGCACATCAAGGGGGAAGTCTGAGATTGCGGGCCAGGACGGCTAGAGAGTGGACTGCTGATGCTCACCACCATCAGCCATAGGAGATTCCAGGAGTGATCTTCCAATCGCAAGTATCCGTACTTAAGCCGCGACTGTTAAAGATGTATTGTGTGACCAGGGGAATAACAGTATAACTTGCTTGTAGTCAAGTCCAGCTGACTGTCATTATAAGGAAGTCACTTGTCTCTCTTGGTATACGTCCACTGGGATTACCTGTGCAGTACCGGGTCTCACCACAGTCTAATCCTGCAGAAGTTAACCCTCTCCCACCTATTTCTTTCAGTTGACATACACAACCTCTCAGTACGGTTTATATGATGTGAAAGGTCTCCTATATTTCTCTACGTTACTAAGTGAGTAATTGAGACCATCAACTGACCAAACCGCAAGTACCCTCTCCGCAGTTGTGATCCAAGGCTTGTGCTGCAGAGACGTTACAGATGTACACAGTAGTATAAAAGGTGACGCAGGCAACTTTTAAGATGAGCACTTTCAATTTGGGCTTACTGAGTATACACTGATTTAAGGTGGTACATTTAGATGAATTCTCCTACTGTTCACTTGGCAGTTTTATGTTTGCCCCACAAACACACGGGAGATGAGCCCATAGAAGTCTGTGGAGACCTTCTGCACAGGCACAGCCAGAGCAAAGAATTTTACAGAAGGATGGAGGTAAGAATGCATCTGAGAAAAGGAAAGGTGGAGTACTAAAAGTTGTGGAGTAGCAAAAAGGTATGTGCATTCATGGAGAGTGCAAAATATGCTTAATTTCAAAATGAGCTAATCATTTAAATTGCATTTCTAGCCAAAACTTTTTTGTTGTTGTTTTGGATATAGTAGGGAAGCGTTGTCAGGTTTTTATTGCTGAGCCCTTATTAGTGACAATTTAGGCCTGGTTCACACCTAGGCATTTTTGAGCAGTAGGAAAAGCACTTTAAAGCCCAACACAAGAAATCCCATGATTTTCAATGGGCCCTGTTTACACCGGAGCAGCAAAACGCCGAATGCAGAAAAAGGTACATGAGCTTCTTTTGGCGGTTTCCAGCTTGTTTTTCCCCCATAGATTTTAATGGAAACACCAGAAAACGAGCGGCAGAAGCACATTTTTGTGTGCATTTTTTGTATGTTTGTATGAGCGTTCTTCCATTGACCGCAAAATTTCTTAAGCTGCAAGTGAAAAGGCTCGTCTTCATGTACACGCATTTTCACGTGCGTAAAAAAAGTGCAAGCCACCCATAAACGTGTAAATAACCACACGCTGAACGTGCGCGTACAGACGCACAAAAACTATGCTGCCTAGGTGTGAACCGGGCTGTACAGTTGTTACCTGAACAGAAATAGAGGGGATATTTCCAAAAGGATATACCACTTTCTAAAAAGTTCCTCTCACTTTCTGTTGTGTCTCAGAGACAGGAAGTAAAGGGAAACCTCCCCAACGGTACACAGACAGTGAAAATAAAATCCAACCAATTTAGTCATTACTTACTGAATCTAAAACTAAAATAAATGGCTATAGATACACTCAAAAATATTGCTGGCTTGTAACTGGTGTTAGCTGTGATGGCCTGTGAGGTGTCAATGAAGGAGAGCAGAAAATAGAATAATTTGAGTTACAGATAACATAACCTTTCCTGAAAAAATACAGAAAATTATAAGATAAGATAACAAGAACTGCTAAAATAATTCATACCGTTTAGTGAAATGGCCCTATATTCTGCTATAACAGCGCTACCAAATCTCGGGCTACAAAAGTCAACTGATTCAATACAGAAATCCATCTTCTATAGATTGTCACAAGTCCCATGTAATTCAATGTCTGATTGTGCTCCTATTTCTTGGAAATAAACTCAAGATTGTGTAACACACATCTCCACTTTGACTAAAGGGCATATGTAATACCACTAGAATCAATCTGAGAACTTGCAAAGGAAATAAAAAGTATTTCACAGAAAATATTGGTATATAATGCGGTGTGTTTTTCTGCAGAACAGTAAAATCCGTTCATCCCTGCCCCCAATCACAGGGCACTCTCCTGCTTATTTTGCCAGCGGCAGTAATACAAATTACAATTAGCAGGAGGAGAAATTAGGAGTACACGGGTCAATAACCACTTTCTGTCACCGACAATTGAATGAGACGCAAAGCACACTTCCTTCAGTCTCTGGATGCATTCTGTAGTAGTCACATAATTTGCTGTAAGGTAGTTTGTTATTGTTAATTTATCCCGGGTTACTCCACAATGGAGGGCTATGCAGTCACCATAGTGTATATTATAGGACGGGGTAACAGTCTAGGAATCAGATCTATGTAGATCTTCTTGGATCTCCCGATTGCACTACTGAACTCGGTGTAGCAGATCCGCTCTATTTTTAACACTGTGGCTTTGTTATTATGCTCTGCTTGCTGCTGTTGGGTTTTAGGGGACACACACTTTCTCGGGGGGATTGTTGATAAGTTCTCTTACTGTTATTTTCTGTGTTGTGATGTATATGTTATTGCTTGTAATGTGTCTTGTAGCCTCCATGGCTGTGAGAGTTTCTATCTATGTTATTTGATCAAAACCTTAATAAAAAGATTTTATAAAAAATAAAATAATAGGACAGGGGGTAGCCAAACTTCAGCAATCCAGCTGTTTTGGTACTACAAGTCCCATGAGGCATTGCAAGACTCTGACAGCCACAGGCATGACTCCCAGAGGCAGATTCATGATGAGGTTTGTAGTTTTACCACAGCTGGAGGGCTGAAGATTGGCTACTCCAGTAATAGAGACTTACTTTAATTAAGAGTTGGGCAATTCATTTTCTCAAGGGGCCACATGAGAAACTTTGACTGTTGTGGAGGGCCGAAACCAATAGGCTGTACTTAATTCTGGGCTATATTCATTTTATAAAAAGCAGTATTTATATGGTTTTGGTAATGTCCCTATTAGAGTGCCCCCTTGCAAGTTTTGTCCCCTTTATAGTTCCCCTTTTTATTATTGTCCTCACATACCTTAGTTTACTACTATATAACAAGGCCAGAGGCAGGAGCCGGGAGGTGGATCAGTCGATATTATTAAATCAGCTGCACTCCACACAGCATGCAGACCTTAATGAAAGGTTGGTGCTTGAAGTGACAACACGGATGTCAGATATAGTCCATAATAGAAGTCACCAGCACTCGATGATATGTGCAAGAATTAAAGCACGTTTTATTAAACTGTCACATGTGTCATACAGCCAACGTTTCGGGGGCCACAAAGGGTCCCTTCTAGGTCACTATGTCACCCAGAAGAAGGGACCCTGTGTGGCCCCGAAATGTTGGCTGTATGACGCATGTGACAGTTTAATAAAAAGTGCTTTACTTCTTGCACATATCATCGAGTGCTGGTGACTTCTATTATGGGAGATGGAGCAGGTTGCAAGAGAGGACAAAAGAAGATACTCTTCCGTCCTTCTGTAATGCTGGGGGCGAGGAACACGTTTGATGTCACTGA